CTATCTATCTATCTATCTATCTATCTATCTATCTATCTATCTATCTATCTATCTTACTGTCTGTCTGTCTGTCTCTCTCTCTCTGTCTCTCTGTCTGTGTTATATCATACTTTTCTTCCAAGCAACTCAAAGTGATTAAAATGAATTAATCTAAAATGCAATCTGCATTGTAAACAATCTAAAATGTAATCTGTTTATCCCAGAGGTATAAATCCTCACTTGTATTGTCCTCACACTTTTGGTTGAGGAACCACAAAATTATTCGCCTTGTTCCACTAGATGGTAAAGTATGTTGCGATGCTCTTGACAACAAAAAACAATGAGAACAACGGTTTTGCACAAGTTAAGCAAAATGGCACAAATGTGCAAATAAAACTAGCAGTGGTTTAATGGGGGGGAAAAGGGGAAACTGTGAAATCCGCAAAAGTCTTCACTTTTGTGATCGAGTTTTCTAATTGTTTTTGACAACTTCAAGGCTGAAACCACACTCTCCAGAAAAACTGGATCTAATCTGCAGCAACTCCTGTCACAGCACAAAATGCCAAGCTGTACAACAGTTGAAAATGGCACCCAGTGCAGTTCTTTTCTGCTCCAGTTTATTTATTTTATGTGATGTACAGTTACCACGGTGTAGTTTCTGTGGATTAGCTTCAAACGATGCAACCTCACTTGTAGTGGGTTTTTGCTCTGTTTTAATACAGTGTGAGTGGATGTGTACATTGTTGTTGTGGGTGTGTTAGGGTCTGGCCATGATATCGCATGACAGGAATGTTGTGACCCTGCCATACACCCATCTTTTTTATGTATTTATTTTAAAAGGTGTTTATATGTAAACACAGATGTTAGCTTGCCATCACTTTCATGCTTGTGTATACGCCAGAACTGCTGGATAGCTCAGTGGTTTAAGTCTCTGACTGTGGAGCCAGAGGTTGGGACTTTGATTTCCCCACTGTGCCTCCTTGATTAGGGCTGGATTTGACGATCCATAGGGTCCCTTCCAGCTCTGAAGTTCTAAAATTATAATTTATTGAATTTGTCAGCTGTTTGCCATCTACGATGCATGACAGTACCCCCTTTCCAGCATCAACGGAAACAAAAGAGACATATTAATGAACAAATGACTTGGAAAAATGATCAATTGCAATGGTTTTTCTGCTCCCCCACAAATCTCCAGGAGATCCACCCTTTCCTTGGGGAGCCTCGGCATGCCGTGGTTCCAGAAAGAGACATCTTCCACAAGGAAACCACCATCTTCCATGGTCAGACGTGCAATTTTAATTACAAGGGTGGTTTTTTAAAAGGGATTGTACATCTACATGTGTGAACATAAGTCCAAAGGAAGAAAAATACCGTATTTTTCCATGTATAAGACACCCCCACTTTTCTAATCCAAAATTAAGAAATCCAAGTGGGGCTTAGCAAGTGCAGGGGGAAAGGGATCGAAGCACTGCAGGATCACTTGAATCCCTGCTTTCTCCTCCACTTATTTTTGTTCTCTCCTCAGCTTACTTCTGTGTATAGGACGACTCGCAATTTTTTGTCTAAAGATTTTAGACAAAAGTATAGTCTTATACATGGAAAAATACGGTAATTGAAGATGCAACAGCAGAGACAGGCATACAGGACAGGTGAGGGAGGAGCAAGGATTGGGGAAGGGATGAACAGACAACTGGTGGGGAAAAAGTTGTGGTTCTGGTTTACTACAATGTTGTAGTTTCAGCCCAAATGTGCACCTGCGTCTAGTTAGTGGATCTCACAAATCTGAACCTCTGACCAGCATTGCATCAGCCTTCACACTCTCTGACTTCTCCTTGTTTACTGATGGAATCTTTTCCTTTCAGTGCTAGCTTTTGCACAGCGGTTACAGCAGACAACCCTTTCTGCTGTCCCGTTGTGTACTCACCCACACATGGCAAGAACCTACGTGCTTCCTCTTTCCCCATTTGCCCCAGTTTTAACCTTCATCACAGCCTGAAAATATTTCACACATTAAATATACTCTGGCAATGTCCCATTCCAGCCTTGTGGAGCTATTTCTTTCTTTCTTCTGTTTTTTTTTTAAACTAGTAAAGCTGGGGTAAAAATCTAACTTATACTGACAACTCTGTCAGGGCATCATTCCCGTTAATGCATCACATTACGGTATTATCGAAGCATGAACAATGCAGAACTTGGGCCTACCGTTGTCAGCTGCCAGGAATGTGGCCTCGTAGACATTGTTTTTAATATAGGCTGACTCCCGATCAAGGACGGCGGCTGTGGTGATCTGACCATTTGTGGCATTAATGTTCAGCCAGTTTGCAGGATCTGACAGCTTGGAGTATCTGCAGAAAGACGGGACGAATACATGGCAGTCTCTTCCACTGACACATCCTTAATATAGCTTGGAAATAAGGTTGGGTTAGCATGTTGGCATTCCTTGTTTTCAAACTCATGCCCCATGTTTAAATTAAGAGCATCTGAACATTTGGTCTGGCCCAAACTCTAAATGATAGATAGATAGATAGATAGATAGATAGATAGATAGATAGATAGATAGATAGATAGATAGATAGATAGATAGATAGATAGATAGATAGATAGATAGATAGATAGATAGATTGATCGATTGATTGATTGATTGATTGATTGATTGATTGATTGATTGATTATATAATTCTATGGAGGAGCCAATGTGAAAAGTCATATGTGAGTGTGCTTGATTTCTGTCACCCTGAATTATTTTTCAAATCAAAAGAGCCCAACAGCTGCTGAGGAAAAATAAATATGCCCCCCCATGATTTCTCTTACAGGGTAAACAATAGCAACAACAAAAAGTGGCCTGGCAGTGCCATTTGTAAAATCAGCATAGGGGCAAGGGTGTTAATCTTTCAAAATCAAGCAATTCCCTTCCTCATCAATTCCAGTCAAACTGGCAGGACATCTTTCATGAGACATGACTAGTGAGGCTTGTCTTCTCCTCATGCCCAAGGCTGAGGGGGCTATAAAATGTTGTCCTACCCGACTCCCAAAAGGATGACAAGATAAATCACGCAGCTCTCAAAACAAACATCTTTTGGCATAAATTTGTGTGAATTACATGTAATGGAAATAATGCTTTAGCAGAAATAACGTGCCACAACTCTTCTGCCTAATGTGTTTGGACTCAGGAATTTGTTCCTCATTGACAAACAAGGCCCACCACAGTGTGTATCCTATTCTGTATTTTTTCTGTTTCTCCAGGAAAATCCTTATGCCCACTGCTAAGTAAAAGTTGCTGTATCTTATCTTCAGTTTCTGGTCTGCAATTTGGTACTTAATGGCACAGCTGGCAAGACCATTGGGCAGAATAAAGTGGTTACTCCAGGTAGCAGATGTTGTGAAAGGGCCTGAAGTGAAGTGCTGATTGAGAGAGTTGCATACTATGCTTCTCTTAAGCGAGCCACTCCCCTAGGTATAATACACGAATGTATCCTTGAAGGCTTTCATGGCCAGGATCCGATGGTTGTTGTGGGTTTTCCAGGTTGTTTGGCCATGTTGAAATTCTATTTCAAAATACTGAAGTACTAGACAACATCAGCAATCATTATATTGGTCTGCACAGGGAAGCCATTGAAATCCACAAACACCAGCAGAGCTTCAACAAAAAAGAAAAAAGTCTAAAAATCAACAAAGCCTGGCTCCCAGCACTCAAAAATACAGCCTGCAAAAGGTCAACGAACTCTACCCAGCCACAAGGACCAGTGATCGCTGCACACAAAAGACCAGCTAACAACACCCATCAATCAGTCACAGATAATCTCTCCCCCTTATCACAACAATACACCCACAACAAAAAACATGCTGATCATCATAATCACCCAATCTCCTGAAAAGGACAAAAGTTGATCCCACAGCTATAAATACTCAACTATCCAAGCAAACTGCACCAGAGTACAGTCTGAGTTCTGACTCCTGTCCTCTGAAGATGCTGGCCACAGAGACTGGTGAAACGTTAGGAAGAAAAACCTTAAGAACATGGCCAAACAACTCGGAAAACCCACAACAACCATAATAGATGAAGTTGTGCCATTGCTAGTATGGTGGAAAGACTCAATGGCTGGTCAATAGGCTTCTTCATCTAGTGAGAAGAGTGCTATCTTGTTCTTCATGCCAAGCATTAAAATGTGTTAGGCCTACAGAAGAAATGCCAGCCTATTTAAAAAGGTGTTGGATGTTTGGATTAAATAGGGGACCATTACAGGACATTATACAAGGGACGTGGTGGCGCTGCGGGCTAAACCGCAGAAGCCTGTGCTGCAGGGTCAGAAGACCAAGCAGTCATAAGATCGAATCCACGTGATGGAGTGAGCTCCCGTCGCTTGACCCAGCTCCTGCCAACCTAGCGGTTCGAAAGCATGCAAATGCAAGTAGATAAATAGGGACCACCTCAGTGGGAAGGTAACAGCGTTCCATGTCTAAGTCACACTGGCCATGTGACCACGGAAGATTGTCCTTGGACAAAACGCTGGCTCTATGGCTTGAAAACGGGGATGAGCACCGCCCCCTAGAGTTGAACACGACTGGACAAAAATTGTCAAGGGGAACCTTTACCTTTTACAGGACATTATATCTGTTTACAACCTATTTGTCCATCTAAAGCAGTAATTCCCAACGTTGGGTCCTCAGATGTTCTTGGACTACAACTCCCAGAAATCCTGGCAGGAACAGTTAGTAGTGAAGACTCCTGGGAGTTTCAATCCATGAACTTCTGGAAATCCAGGGTTGGGAACCACTGATCTAAAACATCATTCCCTAATCTGAGTGGCCAGCAGCACTTCAGCATCTTGACAGAGAATGTTCACATATATATATTTTTAAAAAAATCCTTTTACAGTATGAGAAAATCCAGGGGATTCTGTATCAATGCACTGTGCACTACAGATACTCCCCGAAATGCCATATAGACAAGAATGGTTATTTGTGGTGAGTAGAAATTACGTTGGCTGCATTCACAAGAAGACAGGACTCATGGGAAAAGATAATTTGCTAGGAAAAGTGGAACGTTGCAAGAAAAGAGAAACATTTCTCTTCAGATGGATTGACCCAATAAAGAAAGCCATGGTCTTAAGCTTGCAAGCTTTGCATGGAGCTGTTAATAGTAGGACTTTTTGGGGGCTAATAATGTACTGGGCTGCCATAAGCTGGAAGCAACTTGACAGCACACAACAATGACAGAAATTACTGGAAGCTGTTAAGCAGACACACATCTGTATAGCTCACAGAAGCTTACGAATATAATCATTATGTTATCTAACCCAATACTGTCTGCCATGATTAACAGGTTTGGACACCAAGATTCCATAAAAGGATTTCCTAAGCTCAGTCAAGAGATTTTTAAACTGGGTTATCCATGAATAAAATTCAGGGTATGGAAATGTTATTTTTTATTTGGACCACAACACCCAGTATCCCTTAGCCCGCATGGCTACTTAACGAGCGGCACATGATGGAGGGTGTGTGGTATACAACTCCCTTATCCAGTTCTTTGTTGCTTTGCACACAGTATCTGTTATCTGAAGCAACCGCCTTATTCAGTGTAATAGTAGTGCCAGCCCTGCCTTTAACTCCATTGGCAAGTGGCCAAAATGGATATGGGATTTGGGGAGTTGCATATAACTCTTTCCAAACTTTATCCCATTTCTGCCCTTACATGTAATTCAGTAGGCTAAATAACAGCCTCATATTGTAGACTGTTACACTGTTCCCCCCCCCCCCCCGTCTGCCTTGGACTGCAAAGTACATAAAACTGAATTGTGCTGTTTTGTCTCCTGCAGGAGAACACAGTCCATGGCTTCTGGGCTAGCATTCAGCTTTGTGGATAACAAACTGTGCAGGCTGGCATTGAGCTAGCCTCACAGATTATTCTTGAAACACATTATGAGAGTCATTAAGCACAAGAGGAATGATCAGTTGGGTTTCCCCCCCTCTTTGCTTGTGGTGCTTGGGAATGATGGTGGCCTGGAAAAGCAGCAACAGAGATATTCATGGCTGCTTTTTTCTTTAGGTAAAAAGAGGGAACCATCTCAGATCGGTGACTGCTAGGGAAGGGGAGCAAAGAGCAGTGACAGGCCCCTGGATGAGTCTCTTGAGACTGCTGCTCCCCCATGAAGCATCATCTTTTTCATTATCTTCTTTCTAAGGACAGAACTATGCACGTGCCATGAATCTATCTTGATCTTCTAAATGGGACTTCTGTTTTCATCTCTGGAGACAGACACAAAGTCTCCAGTCCTGGAGTAAAAAGGCCACTGCCAGTCAATTTGTATACACCAGACAAGAGTAAGTATACAAAATGGTAGGAATAGCGCTAGTTTTTCCTTCATGTTTGGGGTTAGGGTGGGGAAGACTTGGGTGGGTGGCCCTGATTTTTTTAAAAAATATGTCAATCTATTTGACATCCAGAGGATAGCAAGTAATCCTGCTCTGAAAAGTTAGGCTTCTTGATGTAAACTTGATTCCTTTCCAGTAACACGCTGCTCAGATGTTTGCATTATATTCTAAAGATAGTGTGACGGTAGGGAATCCCAGTGCGTTTGGGGGCCCATCTCTTTCCTCTGGACCTTGCTGTGGGCCCTTGCCACCATAACCCACTGAAATGTGGCAGAACGTGAGCAAACGGAATCGGGGAGTGGACGGGGAATCCACCTCCATTTGCAGGTGGGGGTGGGGTGGAATCAGTAACACAATATGTTTCGTGTAGCTCATTCATTTCACATCAGGAGAAGGGACAAATCAGAGCTACCCCCCTCAATAAAATAAAATACAATTTTCAGGCTCTGGGGAAAAAAAACCTACTTTGTGCAGGTCTGTTCACAAGGTGGTTGTATTTGTAAACAAAATACTCGACTGGAATGATAAAATACAGCTGAGGGATGTACATTAAACAATGTCTTTTAATGACATAAGCCAGCTCAGGTCCTTTTTAAGGAGGAAGATAGGGTAAAAATATCTTAAATAAATAACTAAATAATTAATACTGTACATGGCTGGAAAGATCAGTACATTTCTCCATGGAAGGCAAATGGCTTTCCATTGGCACTCCTCAATGTTGCTCCAAGTGCAGGAGACAAATAGGTGCCCTTCAAAGACTCGGCAGTTTCAGAAGGAAGCAAAGAAGAAAAATGGCTTTGTTAGCCCAGACATTCCTTCTGTCCTTAAAGATCCCACTAGCTGTCTAAAATCAACGGCAGAGGCAGTGAGTAACCGCCATCATTTTCTGCTCCAGACAGCTCCATCCCAGCTGAAATATCTCAAACCTAGGATGATTATAAAATGTCACAAATGATGTAAGTTTAATTGGCCCCAGCTCTTGTTCCACAATGTGCCCTCCTGCTATGCCAAATATGTCTGGCATTCGCAATAAAGGAGCAGACGGATGACCAGAGGGGCCAGGAGACAGGACATTAGCGAGAAATTCCTTGTTTCTTAGGCTGATGCCAAGGGCACCGTGTGAAGCGCACAAGTTCTTGGGTTTTAAATGGGAATTACGTTTGCCAGGCAAGATGGGATGAACTGTGGTCAGCTGCACAAAGTTATAGTTCTGTAGTGTTTCATTTCTGGAACACATGGGAACCCTGTAAAGCACCCTTCAGTTATTAGTGCCGTAGCAAATATTGGAAATGTTTGAGATTCCGGGATACCTCACACATTAGTTTTGCTTTATAATTTTCATTAAGTGCACATCCAAAAATGTAACAGAAAAACCTAGCAATGTGTGTGACAGTATCTGGCTTGCTTCAGAAGTGAACCAAACTTTCCAGTTGGCCCCCTTAGTGCAATTTCCTTCTAAAAAGCACCAACATTTGATCCTGATCATGTGGAGTGACTCTCCCTCCAGACTGTTGCTCTCTAGAATGGCCATCTATCTTTCATCATGTGTTTTCTGGATGCCTGTGAAATTTTTTGAGTGTCACATCATTCTCATCGTACCTTACAGCCTGCTGCATGAAGCGGTCAGGATCCACAGCTGAAAAAGTCATCAGTGTTGTTCCTGTTGGCACGCCTTCTTCCAGTCTGATGAGCTTGTGGTTTGTTGGGAAGTAGGGTGGCTCGTTGACATCAGTGACTGAAATGGTGACCCCAGCTGTAGATTGGAAGGACATCTGGATCCCACTTGCTAAGGGAGCTTGATTGGAGACCATCACGGTCAGCATGAAGGCTCTGTTCATTTCATAGTCAACCTCCTAAAATCACGGATACATAAGAGGAACACAAAATCTGTACAATCTGTTCAATCTGCGATGCAGACAAGAGAACCTCACCTTGACAAATCTACACTTGTGTTCTACTGTAAGAAGCCAACAAGGCGCTTCAGAAGGCACAAGACAGCTGCTTAATGAAAGGATCAGACAGGTCCACTTCACCATAGACACTCTGAAACACAGAGTAGACCACCTTCACTAAGAACTAGTTTCCATGCTGCCCTAAACAACACTGGATGCAGTTCTAGATTTTGTCTGCAAAGCACAATTGGACCAGCACTTCAAAGGCAAAGAGAGGCAGAACAAGAAATTTGATTCCCTTATCTTCTGAAAACACTCAACAACAAGAAGGATGATGAGGGAACCACAGTGGAGGACACAAAGGGCAAATGGGTGAAAAATCAGACAAGGAACTCATTCAGTCAGAGAGAGAGAGAGAGAGAAATTCCAAACAGATTCCAGTTGTAGACTTCATTACAGCCACAGAATCAGCAATCTGGAACAACAATCTACCAGTGGCAGAAGTTGAACAACTGTCAATGAAAGTTTCTTCAATGCTTCTGTTCCTGGACCTGTGTCTGAGCACCACTCACTTGACCTCCAGAGGGGATGTTTACAGACAGAAACATGGCTGTGCCATGGGTTTCCCAGTGTTGCCCATTGTTGCCAACTTATACATGGAAGAAGTGGAAAATAAGGCACTAAACACTTTCCAGGGGATGACTCCAACCCATTGGTTCAGGTATGTGGACAACACTTGGATGAAGATCACGATTCAGGAAGGACAGGCCTTCACAGTCCACATAAACACAGTGGGCCCAAGTATCAAGTTCACCAGGCAAGACACCAAAGACAACCGGCTGGCTTTCCTGGACTGTGCAGTCCTCATAGGATCCAATGGCAGTTTAGGAATAGAAATCTACAGAAAACCTACACACACAGATCAATACCTGCGGTTTGACTCTCATCACCCATTACAACACAAACTAGGGCTCATCAGGAAGCTAAACCACAGAGCAAGAAACATCCCCACCTCCATAGAAGCCAAGAAGAAGGAAGATGGACATCTGAGGCCTGTAGATATCCAAAATGGGCTTTTAACAAGTCAATGTTCCAACCCAGGAGGACAATGGAACAGTTGGAAGAAGAACCTGGTTATTCCTTACATGGCAGGTGTGTCTGAATAGCTCAAAAGGATTTTTGGTAAATACCACATACCCATGCACTTCAAACCCACAAACACACTAAGGCAGCGACTTGTCCACCCAAAAAATCAGAAACCAAAACACAACAGGAGCAATTAAGTCAATGTTCCAAACCAGGAGGACAATGGAACAGTTGGAAGAAGAACCTGGTTATTCCTTACATGGCAGGTGTGTCTGAATAGCTCAAAAGGATTTTTGGTAAATACCACATACCCATGCACTTCAAACCCACAAACACACTAAGGCAGCGACTTGTCCACCCAAAAAATCAGAAACCAAAACACAACAGGAGCAATATAGTACAGTATATGCGGTCCAATGCAAAGAAGAGTGGTTGTTGTAGGTTTTTCAGGCTCTTTGGCCGTGTTCTGAAGTTTTTAATTCCTAACATTTCACCAGTCTTTGTGTCTGGCAACTTCAGAGGACAGGAATTAGAACTCAAGTGTAGTGTCTTTGTTCTGGTGTAGTATAGTTGAATATTTTTAGCTGTGGGATCAGCTTTTCATCCTAAAAGACTAGCTAACAACACCTATCAGTCATAGTGATAGATCATCTCCCCCCCTTATCACAACAATACACTCATAACAAAATTACTCTGATCACCATAATCACCCAATCTCCCGAAAAGGACAAAAAGTTGAACCCACAGCTATAAATACTCAGCTACACTACCCCAGAAGACAGACAGAGTTCTAAATTCCTGTTCTCTGAAGTTGCCAGCCACAGAGACTGCAAAACGTTAAGAAGAAAAACCTTCAGAACACGGCCAAACAGCAAAAAAAATCTACAACAACCATCAGATCCCCGCCATGAAAGCCTTTGAGAATGCAAAGGAGAGTGTTCAGAGCTCTACATTGGAGAAACAAAACAGTCACTAAACAGGACTCCTGGGAGTCCCCAATCGTGGTGGTGGGAGACCTCCAGGAGGTCTCCGATGGCAGTGGGGAAGCCCTGGGAGACCTCTTTGGAGTGAAAGAGCAGCCTCTTTGCCACCAACAGTTTGAATGGAACAAAAAAAAGCAGGGGAAATTTGAATTTCCCGCCCTTTTCTCCTGCCTTTTTTTTCATTCGCAAGTCAAGTCTCCATTCGCAAGTCGAAGCAACATTTTGTGAATGGAGCCATTTGTACCTCAAAAGTGGAGATGTTCGTAAGTCAAGGTACCACTGTAAAATTATTTCATTCCAAGCACAACATTCACTTTCAGAAATAACATTTCAGGCTTACATTCCAGTGGCAAGCAAGGTCAAAGGTAAAAGTTTGGGAGCAAAAACGGCAGCTTATTTTAGCTTAATGACAAGCTCTTAGGGGCAGTAAGCCTTAGAAGAGGCATTTTACTCCTTTAGCTTGGGGAAAAGCGCCAACACCCTCGAAACCACCAAAGTAGGGTATCAGAGAGAAGTAGCTATTGTGATCTGTTGGGAGCACAAATGGGGCCATACGAGGGCTGGATTAAGCCTAAAGGCCTGAGCTTCCACATCTCTGTTTTAGTATTTATTAATATTAATCTTTATGTGTACTAATTCCTCTAATCTGGGTCTATGTTTTTATTGCTGTTATTATTGTATGGATCTTATTATTTATGTGTTTGCAGGTGGGGGTATGTATACTTGCTTTCTATCACTTTTAGCCACTCAGAGTAGTGCCCGGTGACTAGACGGGTGGGAAAAATGTAATTAATAAAATAAAAAGAAAGAAAGAAAGAAAATAATCTTGTGCCTGTATATAGCACACATTTCTGGATGGTCTTAGAAGCAGCATAGCTTGCTTTATTTGGTATAACTGATTTAATTACAGTGCTCCAATAATAAATAAAGATGATAATGATGATAATGAAAACAATCACAAAAGTGACAATGACAATAACAACGATAAATGTCTAAATTGTCTCTCTAAAGAGGTGGGTTGCTTCTAATCATATTCCAGTAAGCAGTAATTTATGCAGTATCACATTTCTGCTAATTAAGAAATGTGTTGTAATAATTTTGTAATTTAGGTTATCATTCTCAGTTGTTTTTTCAAAGGTCAGATCTATGATGGTGGTTAAGCTAAATGAGTCAGATAAGGTCAATGGAAGCTATAAATAAAGTAATATTACTGATTAAAATGGGGTGTACAACGTTTGCAACAAATTACTGCATATCATGACCTGATTGCTATATATGAGACATATGTACACCAGGCTAAGTCTAAGATACACATTATGAAAGAGCTGTTGTCATTGCTGACTTTGGTGTCCTCTCCTTCATCAACGTTGTGATGAGATCTTCAGATAATGTCCTGTTTCAATATGTCACCCAAACTGATTTAAACACAAAATATTTTCTTCTTTAGAGAAGGCAGATGAAAGTCACCCTCTGGCCTCTTTACATCATTCATTACTTGAAATGAATCTTCGTGGATATAATGCAGAGAAGAACACTCCCACATGGGGCACATAATTCCCCATGAGCTCCAGTGTAAAAATAATAAACACAGCACAATCTCCAAGACAGAGAATGCCTCAGACCGAGTGCTCACTAAAGAGTATGAGGGTGTCCACACTGGCATATAGATATTTATTTATTTATTTAATTTATACCCCGCCTATCTGGCCCACCGGACCAGATATGATATATGGATCGCTGAGAGCATAGTTTGGATCATGGGGGGGGGGAATGAACTTGTCCCCAAGTATTTCTACTTAGAATGAGCCATCCTTCCCCTTTAAGAGCTGTTGCACACTTTTCTGGCCCAGCGGTAGGGCACGCATACTTTTAGGCATGCTTGTCAAGAAATAGCAGCCTCTGCTTTCAACTTCATCATTGGTGCAGATTTCAAGGGAGAGTTGTGGGGGTGGGGAAGAAAATGAAGGATGCAGGGACTGTGGCAAATCTTTGGGTCTGAGTCCCAACTCCAAGGCCAGATTTTTGGTACTAAGCCCAAAGTCCAATTCCTTTGTATCAAGTCCCAAGTCCCTATTAAAAACAACAAAAAAGGGAGGGGCAGATAGGTTACGAGTCATGAATCAAGTCAGAGTCATTAAAAACAAAAACAAATCAAGTCTGAGTCGAATCACTGTTGTGACTTACGTCCGATTTGACAGCGAGTCCCACACTAGAGTCCCCATCCCTAGAAGGATAAGATACGGGGCTGGGGGAGAAAACAGAAGGCCACTGACAGAGGGAGAGAGAAGTGGTGTAAAAAATAATTTCACTTCCCTTGACCCTCTGTAGATGATCTGGGGAAGTGCATAATTTATAGCTCCTTCTGCTACAAGTGGTTGTTTGCTGTTCGGATGGGAGGAACATGCCAAATAGCACATTACCCCTCCCTCCAGCCTCAGTAGACCCTTTGTAGCCCAATCCACCCCACACCCAAAATAGCCAGTATGAACAGGCTCAGATGATGACCATCGGGCAATTTACCTCAGATTGTCTATTGTCTGCACCAGTATCAGTGGCTGTTCAAGGCACTGGCACCCAAAACAGCCAGTCTGAACAGGCTCAGATGGTGACATCGGTCAATTTACCTCAGATCGTCTATTGTCTACACCAGTATCAGTGGCTGTTCAAGGCACTGGGCAAAAAATTCCAGTTGTGTAGTTCAACATTACCTTTTCACTGGGAGTACCAGGGACTTCTTCATTCATTGCCTCATACCCATGGGGGAGGACTTACTGATTCAAACCCCCCTTCCAATAAATTCCATTATTTCAAATGGGCCTGCTCTAACTGAGAGCTACCGCGGTAAAGTAAGTTGCAGTTAGAGTCTGGCCCCTTCTCTGGGAATTTTAAAAC